GGGAGAAGTCATTATATGCTGGTGTTGCCCAAATAAAGTAATTTTTTATAAATATATTTGTATTGATTTCAGAGAGGAAGGGAGAGGGAGAGGGAGAGAGAGATACAAACATCAATGATGAGAGAGAACCATTGATCTGCTGCCTCCTGCACGCTCTGCACGGGGAATCCGGTTGGCAACCCTGACCTCCAGGTCCATAGGTCCAGGCTCAACCCCTGAGCCACGCCAGCTGGGCCCAAATAAAATATTTTTAAAACTTGGAAACTAGGGACCTTTTCAAACAAGTCCAGAAGAAAAATGGTTCCCCCATACTATCCATCACCAATTTCAACATTACAAATTCACAATTTTGTTGGTTTCTAACTGTCCCCGCCCCCAACAGTCCTCTCAGTGTTTTGAAACAAATTTTTACTTCTTTCTTTTTTTCTTTTGAATTTATTTAAATTTTGGAACAGTTCTACATTTACAAAATAAATTGAGAAGATACCACAGAGTTACTGCAAAAGCCACACCAGGTTTCCCATATTACTATCATTACTTAAATAGGATACATTGTTACAATTAAGAAACCAATATGGAACCGTTATTACTAAAGTCCATAGTTTATGTAAATTTCCTTTGTTTTTACCTGTTGCCCTTTTTCTGAGCAGGGGCCCATTCAAGGATACCACATGACATTTAGTTGTCATGGCTACTTCACTTAGGCTCGCTCTTAGGACTGTTATTCAGACTTTCCCTGTTTGGATGACATTGACAGCTTCCAGGATTACTGGCCAGACACTTTGTAGGATGCCTTATTGTTGGAATTTGTCTGATGTACTTCTCATAAGACCGGTGTTACGGGCTATTGGAAGGAAGACTGCAGAGGTAACATGTCATTTGTATTGCGTCATATCAAGTGTGTGTCCTATGAACATAGTTTATGACAATGATGTTTTCCACAAACACCTCGCAAGAGTTTGTCAGGTTTCTCTATTACACAGTTTCCCCTTTCCCCTCTTTTTCCATACTACACACTTTAGGAGGAAGTCAGTATGTGCGGTCTACAGCTAAGGGGGAGGAGTTATATTTCCACTTCTCAAGGGCAGAGTAGTACAGAAATTAATTGGACATCTTTTGCACGGAGATTTGTCTCTTCTGTATTTATTAACATACTCATATCGCCTATCTCTCCTTATGTTAGTATGACATTTACTTGTACTTTGGGTTATAATCCAACGCTACGCTATTTCCTGCTTAATTTGTTCCAACTTTCACCCCTGGGAGCTCTTTCAGTTGGCTCTTTCTCTCTTTTGACATACTCCCATCAATGTGGGTTGTTTGATTTTATTTTATTTTTTGAGCACTTTCTTACTTTCTGAGACAGAAAGTATATGAAACATATGTATGTCCTCATACATATGTACTTAAATATACTTAAAAAATTATGGCTTTTGTAAAACATCACCAAAATTTACCTCACCTTCAAAAATATTTTTTAAATATCATACTTAAATGTTACTTAAAATTTTTAGATAGTTCAAATTATTTTTAATAATCGGTATGTTAAAATCAGGCTCCAAACAAGATTCTGTATTTGTGTTATGTATTTTAGAAAGAGATTTCTCTCTTAACCCTTTTATTTTCTTGCAAATTACATATATATATATATATATATATATATGTATGTAACTACAGTTTTTCTCACATTGGATTTTGTTGATTGCATCACCTCTGACAAGAATACTTCACAGGTTGTGTTGTGATCCTCTGTTGCAGCGATTTTCAACTTTTTCCATTTCATGCTACACATACCAATTACTAAAATTTGGCAGCATACCAAAAAAAATATTTTTGCTGATCTAACAGAAAAGTAGGTATAATTTTGATTCATTCATGCTGGATGGCTATTGTGTTGGCTGTTGTCTTTTTTTTTTTTAAATTTGACAATCTAATGGAAAAGAGGTCAGTGCTGTGACTAAATAGTCAGGTATTGCATGTTTTAAAAATACTTGCAGCACACCCATTGAAAGATCACTGCTCTATTGCTTCACATCAGAAGACACAATATCTAGTTGTTCTCTTTGGGGGATATTAAAACAGGTCTAGATGGTCATCTCTGAATATAATTTCCCATGAAAAGTCACCTGAGCTCCAATTGGAGATCAAGGGCTGATTCTAAGTCTGGGGTAGGAAATCTGCAAGAAAGCCTAGATTGTGTTGGTTGCACCAGAAAACAAAAAAGAAAGCAAAGATAATAGGAGTTGAGTCAAAAAGACTCATGAGGCTATTTAAAGGTGCTTCTGCATGTCAAAGACAGAACAATTTTAGCATTCAAAAGTAATAACAGCAATTGATTAAAACACATCTGGGTAGCTCAGTTTGTTAGAGCATCATCTGGATACACCAAGGTTTCAGTTTGGATCCTGGTCAGGGTAAAAACAAGGATCAAACAATGAGTGCATAAATAAGTGTGGACGACAAATCTTCTCTCTCTCTCTCTCTCTCTCTCTCTCTCTCTCTCTCTCTCTCTCATCAATCAATAAAAAAAATGAGTATGCTGATTTTTTAAGTCATTGGTCACTTTTGGAGGACTCCAAGGAATCTCACATTCTGAAAACAAAAGAATCCAGCATCCTACCTTCCCTGTTACAAACAGTCTTAATCAAATAGTTGATGTGAGACCGTTCTTTATAGATTTTCAGGTAATAAATGCAGAAGATAGACTATCATCATTTTGCAAATCCTGATGAAATAATGGATCCAGGTAATGATCAGCAGTGAGTCTAGAATCGCTAGAAGAAAAGCTGATAGGAAACTTCATAGTCTGGAGAATAGGAATGTGCATTGAATTGATCATTGTTCTTGGCCTTTTCAGTGTACAGATTTTTTTTTTTATGACAAAAAAAAAATGCCCCATGACTTCATAGGGATATTTCTAAATTCAAATTTAGAATTGTGGAGTTTTTTTTAATTTGATTTTATATTTGTATTTTGTTTCTCTAATACTGAAAATCTTGGCTTTTGGAAGACATAATTACTTACATGCTTTATACAAATACTAGTGGCCCAGTGCACAAATTTGTGTACCAGTGGGGTCCCTCAGCCTGGCTGGCGATCAAGGCCTATGGGGGTTGGGGGGCAGCCAGTAGAGGGGAGAGGCAGTGGGAGGTTGGCTGTGGGAGCACACTGTCCACCAGGGGGCAGCTCCTGCATTGAGTATCTGTCCCCTGGTGGTCAGTGTGCATCATAGCAACTGGTCATTCTGGTGGTTTGGTCATAACGATCGCTTAGGCTTTTTTACATATAGATATATTTCAGAAATAAAAATGTGAATGTTATTACAATATGAATACCATAAAAGGATTAAAGTGTCTTCACCCTTGGACTAATATATCTCACTCGGAATATTTGGCCAATTTATTGTTTTAAAGTCAAATCATTTCTTTACTGTCACAGACTCTGCAACTACAAAAGTGTTTTAATGCAGTATCTTCCTTTAAGTAGAGATAATATTTCCTGTTTAAAATGAAAAAGTTACACAACTTTTTTTTCTTTTTTTTCACACTCCCCTCCCCCACCAGCATTTAGTAACAAAGCTTAATAGAACAATAGCAATTTTTGGACTAATCTATCTAAAAAAATAAGACAACCATCACAAGGTAGTTTTATTTACTTACAGCAAGTAAGGAGACAGGGGATTCACATCCAAAACTCTGCTTCCCCACAGGGAGGCTTAGCCGTTGCTTGTATACAGCATTTTGGCAACTACAGATTGACTTCTTTGAAGTTAGCTACCTCCATCCATCCAATTGAGCTCCTATCAGCTCATCCCACTGCCCAGACCTTGAGACCTTTGTCCTATCTTAACAGTTTTGCTTTACAAACACCTGCATTGACCACTGTCAGAATTTAACTGTGTTCATTCATGAGTTGTCAGAAGCTCTAAACCACAATAACCGTACTTCACTGGACAGAAGAAGGCTTGCAAAATTTCCCACAGCCTGGAACTGCTCACTTGACTTCTTCAGACCCAATTAGGCCACGGTATTCAATACTCCTACCTCCCATCCCAACCCCACCTCTCAATACACGTTTTGTTGCCAATGATTGAGCAGCTCCAGCGTCTCCAAACCCGCGGGACACCGAGGCCGGAGAGGGCACGCCCCGCACTCCAGCAGCTCACGGTCGGGCGCTGGACATGAACGCACCAACAGTCTATTATCCAACAATGGCAGAAGGTGCCACGCTGCGGACCGGGACGCGGTGTGATGGAGACCCGCAGATTGCCTTCCAGGGATGAATGGTGCGAAGGGCCGGTCGGCTACTCCTGCTGGCTCCGCCCATGTCTGGTGCAAGGTTTGCGCATCTGAGCTGGGACGTCCTCATTTCGAAAGCTCTTTTATTGCTCTGTTCCCCTGACTAATAGAGGAAGGGCCAAGGGATGAGGAGGCTTGTCTCCAATGAGCGCATCCCACAGGAAGAAGTCACTCGCTTGGGTCCCCAGGGGCGTCAGAGGTAGGACAGGACTAGCTGCCGCGAAGCCGGCTTCGCCCGGGCGTGGGGGCCGGGAGAGCCGGGCTGGCTGCTCCGGGACAGGAGGCAGCGTTGCGCCGCGCCGGCCCCGCCCACTGCAGGCGGGTTCCATTGGCCCAAGGCGAGGCGCGTCACACCAGACGCACCGCGCTGATTGGCTCCCCCCGGGAGCCCCGCCCCCTCAGCTGTATCCGAGCCGGTTCCAGCATCGCCGCCATCTTTGTTGATGTGTCAGCTCCGCGGGGGTCTGGGTTTTTTTTGGCCCCAGGGCGGGGCTCCCGCGGCCTCGCTAGGAGTGCAGATGGAGGCTCGGAGAAGTGGGGTGAGTGCCCGAGGGGCGCCCGGGGCGGACCGAGGAGTTGCGGTAGCTGCGCGGCGAGGCCGCCCCCTTCGCGCGCGGTCCTGCCAGCCCCGGAGTGGCTCCGGTC